TCTCCGGGGGACGCCGCAGGCTTCCAGGGGCGCAGGCAGCCCGTTTGGGGGCGAGGCTGGACTCTTAAATAAAACGAGTGTCCTGTGGCTGTCCCCTGGGTGAGGAGGGGGAAAAGCCTTATTCCTCAAGTGCCACCATAACAGTGGGCATCTTAAAATAATACACAGACCCAAAAAGAAGAAATGAGAAATACCCTTGGCAGTGCCAAGGGGTTGGCACCCCAATAAGCAGAACAAGTCCATGAAGTTTCCATGCCAAAAAGATTGCCCTCCCCGAGGTCCCTCCCACATAACAGAAGCAGCCTTGATGGAGACGGGGGTTTGCAGGTAGCTAGACCTGGGGGCTCTAAAGCCTCAGCCTCCTTCCTGCCAGGCAGGAGCAATACCCGCTCACCGGCCGGTGCCCTGAGGGTAAATCCGTGCGATGCTGCACATCAGTCCGCAGCCCTGCACTCGCGGAGGTTACGATGACAACATTCATCCTCGGTTCATTTTTCCCAAACTCACATCCTGGTCTCAAATCGCCAGCACCTTCCTCTGGGTGTTGCACACAGGAGGCGCTTACAGTGTGTTTATTAATGAAGTGAAAACCACATGGGGGTGCTGGGTCCCCCAGGTCTGTTTATGTCCATAGTATTTGGTGTCCTCTCCAGGCCAGACCTGGGTCCCTTCCCAAGCTTCATTTTCCCAAACTTCATTTTCCCTGTCTAAGGGAAGGAGATACATCCTGGGTAATGTCAATTGCTGGGGATGTCTATAATCTTATTTGGGGGGGCAGCAGCTCTGAGCATAGCTGTTTTAGGGGTGCCTAAAAATCCACTCCTGCCTTTACTTCCTGCCCACAGAAGAGGAAGTCCCTTCCCTGCACCTGGACTCCAAGGCCTTTCCAGGTCGGGCCTGCTCCCTGACCTCAAAGCCGCTTGCATTTCTCAGTTCCCAAACCTCAAACATAGTAGTTGTTCAATCACTGTTTACAGCAGGCAAGGGCTGGAGAGCTCCTTAGGAATCATTGGGTCAGCCTGATGTTCCCCCATCCATTTTTTAAAAACTCACATACCCTTAAAATAAATATTTCACCTTTCCTACCTAATCTTCTAACTTCCCAAGCAGGTATGCTCTGCCATCCCTGGCTGAGGGGTATTTGCAGAAATAGAATACATAGGCCCTGGCTGGTGTGGCTCAGCTGGTTGGGCGTTGTCCTGTGCACCAAAAGGTTGCCAGTTTGATTCCTGGTCGGGGTACATGCCCAGGTTTTGGGCTCAATCCCCAGAAGGCAGCCAGCCAATCAATGTTTAGCTCTCACATTGATATTTCTCTCTCTTTTCCTCTCTCCTTTCCTCTCTTAAAAAACAAACAAAAAAACATAAAAAAAATTTTAAAAAGAAATAGAATACATAGTCTGTGATGCTTCCTCCAGGCAGACCCCTTAAATTTATTAGTCTTTTTTAATTTTCATTTTCAAATTGTAAATTTACACCCCGCCAGTGAAATTACTGGTCCAAATTACCCTTGTCCCCCCACTCAAATGTCACAATTCAAGCTTTTCCCCCACAGTCTATTTTTCCAGGGAGCCCTGACCAAGGAGAGACTTATCCGGCACCAAAAGGCACCCAGAGGCGAAGCATGGACTCGAAGTTGATTCTCTTACATTCCAGGCCCGCGGCATTGGTACTGCCCAGCCTCCCGCTGGGCACTCCCCTTCCAGAGCCATGGGCCCCAGCATAACCCACCTGGGCCTCCCTGCTCTGGGCCCTCCATCCCTGGTCCCTGGCTCGGGCCTGGCTCCCCTGGTCAGGGGTTCCACCCCCCACGCCCCTCCTTGTGACTGCAGCCTTGGCATCCAGAGCACAACAGCCCCGCCCTCTGTCCCCAGGCTTCATCACCCACTGCTCCTCACTGCCTTGGGTGAGGCTGGGGATCACAATGACCCTGAAGAGGCCCTGGAGGCAGCAGGGAGGGGCCCCGCAGAGGGACCAGGTGGGGAAGATGGGCTCTCCCAAGCACCAGCCACCTGTAGGGGGCTCAAACCTCACCGGGACCTTCGCTGGCCCCGCCCCGAAGCCCCACTAGGGTGAGTGTGCCACGGGGGCCCAGCTCAGAGCCCAGGGCATCTGGGAGTGGGGTGCAGTGAGGAGGAAGCAGGCTCGGAGACTCCCCCCTCTCCCAGTGTCAGAAGCTGGGGGCAGGTCTGGGGTCCTCCCAAAGGGAGAGTTTGTTAAACATATGTGCCTCGGCCCCCACCCCAAACCCTCTAAATCAGAATCTGGGGCATCTGTATTTTTCACAAGCTCCCCACCTGGGGGGGGGGCTGGGAGCCCCAGCAGGGGCCGGTGCTGAGCGGGTCTCTCCTTCCCAGCAGGTCCCAGGCTTCCCAGCTCGGGCAGGGCGAGTGCTCGCGGCGCGCAGCCTCCAGGGCTGGGCCGTCCCGCGCGCTAAGCGCTCCGCACCGAGGCGCCTCCAGCCCGCGCAGGAGCGGGGCCCGGGCCGCAGGCGCTCTG